AAAAAAATTAATTGTATATCAATATACTATCTTATAAATTTATAATATTATAATTATATTAATTTCTATTACTACAATATTATTAAATATATATAAATATTATTAACAAATTAACATAAAATAAAATTTTATTAAAAATATTTTAATAAATATATGAATCAAACTACAGTTTCATTATACGTGCATGAAAAACATTATACAAACTTTATTAAATTTACATTTGTGTTTAATTTCCCCGGCAATGCCTTTACTTTATCTGAGTCCTCCCCATGTGGGGGTAAGTGGGCCTGGCCCACTCCTACACCCACCGGCCACCTGTCTTCACTTTCCCAGCTTTTTAGCCCACTCTCCCTGTTTGCGGTTTGCTTTTTCTTGATCTGACTCCGGTTTCCGGGAAAGCACTCTTCTCTTCCCTTCTTTTTATCACCACCAACCAAAGAGAAAAAAAAAAATTGTAAATAAAGATATTAATTTTGTATTTTTGTATTTTTTTTATTTTATTATTTTATTATTATTTTTTGAACAACTTGTATTTTTTATTTAAAATTATTAATTTTTAATATTTTAATTAAAAAATTTATTTATTACATTAATATTTTCATTCAATTAATTTTAAATAAAAAATTAAAAATTAATATTTTTAAATAAAATATTAACATCTTTAATTAAAAAACTAAAAATTAATATTTTTATTTAAAAATTTCCTAAATTTATAAATTTAAAAAAAATTATAAAATTAACATTCTTGTTTATCTATTTTCTCTTAACCAAACACTCCCTCCTTTCATTCTACGTCACCACCCCCCTCTTATCCTGCGCACCCTTTATCCTACGCATCCCCGCGCAATTTAGCGTCAGGCAGGACCATCTCTCTCCTGACGGCCGAATACGTATCGGACAAGTGTCGTTCCACGTCAGTGCCTACTCAAAGCTGTTATCCTTTCTTTGTTCCTCCATTTCTAGGGTTTCTATCGTTCTTTCTTCTTCAGTTCTGTTACCAAGTGATTGTACGGAAGAGGAACGAGAACAGCAGAAGCATAGCTACCGGCAAACATGGGGTCGATCCCCGATCCCGGCGAGTTGACGGAGTCGACTCCGCCGAGTTTCGACGAGTTCCAGAGGCAGACGTCACTCATGACTAGCTGCACTCTGCTCTGGAAGGAACTCTCCGATCACTTTAGTTACCTTGAACAGAACATTATGAAGAAATCTGAGGCCTTGAAGCGGAAAATCCAGACTCTGGACCACGAAACCAAGGCCTCTCTCGATTCGCTGGAGGAACGCGAGGTGACTATCGACCGTAGCTTGGAGATCGCAGTCAAGCGAGTGGAGGAGCATAGGGAAGCTGCGTTGAAGGCGCTTGGGGAGGACGAAAATCCGAACGGGGAGGTGGATGATGGAGACGGGATGTTGGCGCTTCTGAAATCTTTGTGTCGGAGAATGGAGGCTAGGAAGCTTTGGGAATTCGTGACTGCAAGGAAGAAGGAAATTGATGTCTTGAGGGAGAAAATTCCAGAGGCTCTAGCAGAGTGCGTTGATCCGCCGAGGTTTGTGTTAGAAGCTATATCGGAGGTGTTTCCGGTGGATAAAAGAGGGAGTGAGAGAGGGAATGACCTTGGGTGGGCTTGTGTTTTGATGCTAGAAAGCTTGATTCCGGTGATGGTGGACCCTGTTATTGGCAATTCGAGGCTGCTGGTGACGCCTTCCGTGAAGGAAAGGGCTAAGAACATCGCGGAGACATGGAAGGCTAGTCTTGAGGAGAGAGGAGGAATTGAAAATGTGAAGACTCCCGATGTGCATACTTTCCTGCAGCATCTGGTGACGTTTGGGATTGTGAGGAAGGAGGATCTGCAATTATATAGGAAGCTGGTTGTGGGTTCTGCCTGGAGGAAGCAGATGCCGAAGCTTGCAGTGTCCCTGGGATTGGGTGATGAACTGCCTGGTATGTTTGTTGCTTTTTCGGGTTTTCTTCTCTTTTTTATATCGAATTGATGTTGCTTTAGAGAAATTGTATGGGGCTATCTGCATTGACTTACGGGAATTAGAGTACACCATTTTACAGTGCCAGTGTAGCAGTCAGTTATACTGTGAAAAGAATTAGCTCCTCCATGTGAAGGGATGTGGGGAATGAGAATTCAGACATCATAACTTACTCTTGGAGCTTGTTTTTATGCGCTAGGTTTAATTACTGATTTAGTTTGAGTTTCCAGGTGATTTCTTGCCTGAGGAATTAAGAGGAACATATGGATTTTTTTTTTTTTTTTTTGAAAGCAGTAAATACCCTGATAATTTTAGTATTTGTTCTTAGGGGAAGGGGAATTGTTAATCCTGGGACTTGAACATCATATCCGGGGGATGCCATCACTTTGCTTCTCGAAGAGAAGCATGGCCATTGGGCCCACACAGGTGAATGGCCAAGAGGAACGTATGTAGTGGGATGCTTGATCTTGTCAAGTGTTGCATAACTGTATTCTCTGTGTGTGTGGTGCATTGCTAACATTAGTTTTTGGTAATGTACATTAATAACGTGCTTTAGTAGGTTCTGCATTTCTCGATTAAAATTGTGGTTTAAGACTGATGAAGAATAGGGATTGATATTGTTGGATGTGGTAACTAAAGTCTCTGTTAAAGACGGGTATTGTGTTGGGCATGCGTGTGTGTGTGTGTGTCTAGCATGGACTTATGTGGCTAATTCTAGCTGATCAATGAGCTATAGGCTATGCCGTACTCCTGCTTCCTACACTTAAAATGCTCTCTTTCTAATTTTTTTGGGTCTCTCAAATGCTCTCATTTGATTTTAGGCCTTAAAGATGTCAGATTTTTTTTTTTTTTTTTTCATTTTTTGACATCTTTTCACTGTCATTGTGGTTCTGCATTTGGTACAATCTCCTATAGGATTCTTACAAATATGTTGAATTTGAATTATTAATTGTGGCAGTGAAGAGCTATGCTTGAGTTTCTAGCCAACTTAAGTTGTTTCTATTGTTCAGACATGATTAAAGAATTGATCAGTAGGGGACAACAGCTTGATGCAGTTCATTTCAGCTATGAAGTTGGCCTAGTGGACAGATTTCCCCCAGTCCCACTGCTGAAGGCTTTCTTGAGGGATGCAAAGAAGGCTGCAGCTTCCATTTTGGAGGATCCTAATAACCCTGGCCGGGCAGCGGTATGTCTTTCATATGTATTTTGAATCCTTCTTACATTCATCCTCGTTGATCCCTGTAAATTCTTTTTTCCTTGTTTGGAGGTTTGATGCCAAACTCCTGGTCCTGGGATTCACTGTAAGCAGAACGCTTAATGCTTTTGTTTTGTTGTATAATGTATTTGCATATTCTTCCAAATGAATTTAACATGATTGCTAAAATTATTGTAAACTAGTGAATAACCATCATATTCTAAATCTTATTCCAAAAGGTTGGTGTCAAGTTTGGAAGGTTATCCAAGTAATCTGTAATTGAATGATAACTAGGGCTTTAATTTCTTGTCCTTTGTTATTAATCTCTCATACATTTGTCCTGTTTGCAGTTGTAGCTAACAAGTGGTCATTTCTTATTAATTTTTGCAGCAACTGGCTGCGCGCAAAGAGCAGTCAGCACTCAGGGCTGTAATCAAGTGCATTGAAGAGTACAAACTTGAGGCTGAGTTTCCTCCAGAAAACCTCAAAAAGCGCCTTGACCAGCTAGAGAAGGCCAAGACTGAGAAGAAAAGGCCTGCTGCAGTCCCTGCAAACAAGCGAACCAGGGCCAGCAATGGTGGTCCCATGCCTCCAGCCAAGGCTGGTCGCTTGACAAATGCATACGTATCATCATCATTTCCTTCACCACCTACGTATGTGAGGTCACCCTCCCACGCACAATACCCAGCTGCAGTCCCACCCTACCGATCCCCACCCGCTGTGTATGGAAATAGGAGCCCTTCCTATGCTTACTCACCTGAAGCAGCCCCTCCACCTGCTGGAGCTTACCCTGGAGCTCCAATGAACTATCCTGCCTATGGTGGTTACTGCAATGCAATGGCACCAGCTTATCAGCAGGCATACTACCGATAGACATGATTGCTCTGAAGATGGTAACCACTGATATGACGACCAGCAACCAATCTCATTTACTTTCGCAATGGCTTGTTTGTAATCACTAACCATTTTAATGGTAGCGATGTGTGTGTGTTAATTATAACCAGCTCTGCTTCTTGCTTTGTCATGGTAAGAAGCTGTATTTCTAATGTTGCTCAAACTCTAGTACTAGGTTATTGTGGAAAGTAATCATGATGGAAACATAACAAAGTTGAAACTCAATGCACCTAATGTAGGATTGGTTAGTTGTAGAAAGTTCTTCTGAATCCCTTTGGTTCTTATTTCCTGGCTTTTAGATTGTGTGTTCCAAATGGAGCAAAAGTTTTTTCAAGGATAAACATTTAACTAAGAGGAGATGATGTTCGATTCCAGTTGAGCACGCAGTCAATTCCTAATTCTCCAACTTTGCCTTGTATACCATAGCAGTGAGATTGAGTGTCCCGTCAGACAATGTTGAAGTGCTAAAGCGAGGCTCTTTAGGTAGGCACTGAAACGATAGGTCATTTCTTCTAAGGCAAGAATGTTAGGATGCGATGCCATGAGTGATTGTCAAGTCATCTTCACCATGCGTGAAAGCAACTTTTTAATAATATTTTTGCATGCAATGGCTATTAAAGTGAGTGTTTCTTTTTCCAATGTTGCCCATAAATTCTGCTTGTGCGAAAGCTGAAACATCATTCTCAATGGCTCATTGCTCTGTTTCTCTTACAGTGCCATCGATTCATTCTTATGTTCTGTTTCCCTAAAAATGCCAAAAAAAAAAAAAAAAAAGGTAAAAAAAATATTTGCTTACAATGCCCTATAATCTTAAAATATGATATATTTATATATAATTAATTTTTTTATTTAAAGATATATTTGTAATATTATATATATTGATATTATCAAGTATGTAACATATATATATCATAATCTTAATAGTTTATGTAAATTTAAATTATAATTAAAAGATATTCAATATCACCTTAAATACAATTAGAAAAGCTTTTAAAAAGGTAATTAATTGGATTAAATCCTACCTCAACTCTCATGTAAAGCTAAGTTGAACAGGAAGAAACCTAGGTGATATTTGACGTACCTGAGCTACCTACCTAAAACCAAAACTTGATAACCAAGGAACAAAGGTACATGAAAGGCCTTCCAAAGGTCAGGAGAAAACCCATGCAAGGGTGTGGAACATGTCCGTGTCAGCTTCTGCAAAGAAACTGTTAACTCTCAATAGGTGTACCACCCTTGACGTTTCTAATGTGGAACGTATCTACTGGCCTTTGAACTTGATCTATCAAGTCCGACCATTACACATGTACACATGAACGATGTTTGTAGATTTTTATTTACCAACTAGATGTCACATCTACACTATATAGGTGGAGTTAGCACAAATCCCAAGGTAAAACCCAATTTTCAAACTTCTTTTCTCTTCCTCTCCTTCAACATCCTAAACTTATCACGTTAGAATCTAAATTGACTTGAGTGTTAGAGGGCATACGCTGTAGAAATCTCTGGTGTCTGCCTTAACAAGTTTGTTCTTTTATACATTGCAAGTATAGCTATCCATCCATCCAGGCTTGAAGTTTTCCAGAGAAGCACAAAACCCAACATCA